TAAGAGACAGGGTTTCACCATGTTGGTCAGGCTGGTCTTGAACTCGTGACCTCAGGTGATCCGCCCGCCTCGGCCTCCCAAAGTGCTGGGATTACAGGCATGAGCCACTGCGCCTGGCCGGCATTTATTTTCTTAAAAATAACTGTGGTAGCTCCCGGGTGGCTCACGCCTGTAATCTCAGCACTTTGGGAGGCCAAGGTGGGCCAGGTCATGAGGTCAGGAGTTTGAGACCAGCATTACCAATATGGTGAAACCCCATCTCTACTAAAAATAAAAATATTAGTCGGGTATGGTGGCGAGTGCCTATAATTCCAGCTACTCAGGAGGCTGAGGAAGGAGAATCGCTTGAACTCGGGAGGCAGAGGTTGCCGTGAATTGAGATTGCACATTGAACTCCAGCCTGGGTGACAGAGCCACACTCAGTCTCAAAAAAAAAACAAAGTGGGAAAATTGATTAATTTGTTTTTCTCTAAACATAATTTTCTTTTACACAATGCTGTTTTTTTTTTCACACAGAGACTTTCTCTGCCAAAAATTTATTATTCTTTTTTTGACTCTTCTCAGTTAGGGTTATTTCTCCCCAGGGGAGACTGTAACCAAGCAGATGCAATTTCAGCCCAGTCTTGAAGAAGATAGGCCTCCGCTGGCCAGGTAAGCTCTAAACAATTGTAAATAACTACCTTGTAAAGATGTATAATTTGTATCTTTTATTTACCATAAATATTTATTAAGCTGTAATTTTCACATTTTATTTTTATTCTGATATGTACAACTATATATAACACCAATTTCAGTATTCCAATAAACAGAAATGTATCTATAGCTTAGCAAAAAATATAAGCCTGATACATTTATATCTGTATAAGATTTGTAGAATTAATTTCCTAAGTCTCAAGGAACTAAAGTATATATACAACCCCCCCATTAAATTTAAATCAAATAGATATATATTTTGTCAAATTGAATGCTGTATAACATTTATAACCAGATACACAAAATATAAATTGAATCATGATAATGCACTGCTGATAATAGGTACCATAACTTACAAATGTGATTTCAGTTAAAAAGAGGAAAATAATTGCTTTGCTGGACTGTTAGTGCATGCGACTCACAATCACCATTACAAAAGATCATGTTAATTACAGATTATTCAGACATGTAACACACATCTAAATATTAAATTGACACAATAAGATATTTAAATTTGCAAAAAGACAGAACATATGGTCAATAATACCATGACCTGCCACAGGTTTTTAATAGATAATGCAAATGATAATCAGTTCTTTACGCCACCACAAGAGAAAAACTGGTACTGGTGAATCTCACACATATCAAGGAAGAAAAAAAATGCACAATTCAATATGCAAAAAAGATTGTTTATACCACATATATACATCATAATCATGGTTGTTTGGTATGAATGTTAAGTATTCTGTATTAGAGTTTGCAAAATATATATAATTCTGTTGCTTATGAGTGATTAGCAAAGCCCAACTATTCAAACAGCCATAGAGAAAAATTTTTTGGTAAATTAACTTTTTTTTTTTTTTTTTTGAGACGGAGTTTTGCT